ATGTGGTCAACTTGGCAAAGTTCGGGAATCACGATTTTTGTTGTTGCCCACAGCTGTTTACCGAAAACTTCTTCGCGCGTTCTCTTTGTTTTCGGAAATGTTGCTAGAGTGTTTTGATTCTTTTCTTGGAACGTCAAACTTGAAACGGCAATTCGCCTAAGGATTCGGGAAGACTTGTCAATCATGTAATCGAAACGTGTGAAGCCATGAGCAAGCACATTGTCGTGTCGATCATCCTTTTCCTGGTGATAGAATTTTTGGTTATATTTGCCTTCTTTATGCCCGAATGGATCATCTCCGAGGCGGGCGGTCTCGTTCAAATTGGCCTCTGGCAAACGTGTATCACCCAGAGAAGAGTGTCCAGGTGTTTCATCTCATCGGCACCAACTGAGTGGCTCTTTGCCATTGGCCTAATCATTGTGGGCTGCCTTTTTGCCACCCTCACAATTGTGGTTCTCATTGGAGCACTCAAAGCGCACTACCTCTGTGCAGTGGGGCGATGGCTTGGGGTGGCCACACTGGCCTTCTTCAGCCTTGCTGCCATCATTATTCCAATGGGATTCTACATGGATCCCATCAGAGGAGAAGCATTCCAACTCCCGAGCTCATTCTCAGTATGTTTTCTTTAGTCACCGATAGCCATGTTAATTGTTTCTGTTTACTTGCAGGCTGGTTATGCTTACATTCTCTACAACTTGGCAATTTGGATTACGTAAGAATAATTCCTTTCTTTGTTATCACATGTAAAGTAAAAAAATTGTTTTTCCAGGGTACTCTCTGAACTGTTTGCCGGAAAGATATGTCTGCCCAACTTTTGAACATAATGATAAAGTCATATCCTCTAGTCAATTTAAATTTATTGTGAATATTCCGCAGCAATATGTACATAAACTCTCTGAACGATGATATCACAGAACAACTAGAATTTCGGTCGTGGATGTTGATAGTTGACATGATCAATGGTCGTGTAGTAGCGGTACTGCTTGTTCTCAAACCTGTTCCAGGACTCACAGTTGGCATTTCGAAAACCAATGTCTGGTCCAGTGTGACGATGAAAGAGGGCAATGAGAGCCATTGCAGGGGCCAAACCACATGCCAAGCCCAGAGGGATCGCGTACCGAGGTCGCTTAGACAGGTTCTTCAGCAGAAAGTGCTGAATAAAAGAGTGATTTTGTTGAATGAGTGTGCTCCTGAAAAGGAAAGTGTCAGTTTGTGCTGATACAACTGCTAAGAATATACATTTTTTAGATTTCTTTAGAGAAGAGTTGACTGAATCAATGTTAATTACCTCTTTCAAGTGTAGTATTTATGCAAAATGCGTAAGTTATCACTACGTGATGTACAACATTGTGCTTTCTTGAGCTTGCGACATCTCTAAAGATGGGCATTCACTCTCTCTTCAGACAGATCAATTTCATTACCAGACGGTGATAAGTTTGTTTTTTTCAACACTTTTCCCTGACACTTTTATCTTTATAAATAGACATACTTTATTATTATTACATCCAGCTTATAAATACGTGTTGATTGACACATCTCGGTAAATAAAACATTGGTAGTTAGTAGTGTAAAGAATTGCCATGTCTCTGACAGTGTGCTCGCTTTATGTGCATCAAATTGGTGACCGAGTTGAGATTGACACTACTGTTGCTGAAGACGGTGACAAATGCCAGAACGGGAAAGTAGCCCAGATTGCGAAACCCAGGCAGGTGGAGCACCCGCCGAGACTGATGGTGGTGGATGTTTTGCATGAAAGGCGAATTGTGCGCTCTGCTAAAGTTCATCTTCACAGTCGTCCAGTGCTAGTGATCCAGGGGCAGGTAATCGATCGATCGCTAAAAGTTGCGTACTCTACTGACTTTCAATGCGCTGCAAAAAGAAGCGCCCAGCACAGGTTGGCCAATTTAAAAGCACTGGCCTACGTGACTGAGGTTGCATCGCTCGCCACTGCCACGACCACTGCAACGGACCGCCTCGTACCAATTGTTTGCAACTTTATTTGGCTTCTTTCTTTCCTTTCATCTTTCTCTCTCTCTTTCTCCCTTTCCAAGCTCTAAGCAGTGCTAAGCAAAGAGACTTGCTGACAAGTGGTGCTACAGCCGTCGCTGCCGCTTTGCACACGAGCGATGTGCGCATTGTCGATAACCTAAATCGCACCCACGTAGCACTCGGCGCCTTTTCAACTGTATGATATATACATTTGTACGAGATTTTACCACTTTCTTCTAGCGTTTTCTGGTTGTCAGGCAGCATCAGCTCAGCGACCTCTCATCGATGGCTGAGAAGAGGTCATCTGATGAGGACAAGGGCGAGAAGAAACCGGCGCAAAGGAGTAAGATCACGTAGGCAGCCAGCAAAGATTACTGCTGGACACTAAGAATATGTACGACAGTTGTTTTGAAAGCAGTTTTGAACAGTAGAAGATGTACTCTTCTCTACCTGTTTTGTTTTCCTCTTTCTGCAGTCATTAATCAGTGGGCACACTTGTTGTCGAGTTGGCACCTAAAATAACTGCGTCATCCACTGGTTTGACTAGCTTGTGAACAAGTGTGTGAACTAGCCACTGACAGTGAAAACAAGACCGCGCTCTACTGTACGCTTACATTTTCACTTTCACTGCTTAGCCTTGGAAAGTTTGCTTCGAGTGCATGTAAATAACTTTCCACAGTTACTGAACTTCCATCGTTGTTTTGGTGTATTGGCAAAACGGTCATTTCCATTGTAGAGATGTATCATCTCTCCCAGTAATATTGAGCAGTAATGCTGACTACTGCTAACGAGGCGGCAAAACACCAGAGAACACTAGAAATACGTGAGCTTCCAAAATAGTACAGATGCATGATAATTATAATCGATGTCTGGTGTTTATCAGAAAACAACAAGAGAAAGCCGCCCGTCAATCAGCAATATCAAGTGATTTAAGCAATAACAAATTAATTATTCAATGCCCAAAACTAGATTAATTTTTTAACTTTTGTTTCTATAAGAATTAAGAATTGACGAATTGGTGTGAATAAAATAGGAGTATTGCTTTTAAAATATCTTAAAATGCTAAATTTTTGAAATGTTAAAGACCTAATTTCCATGTATCAGCATTTCCTGGTTACGGCGTCTATCTATGGTGTTTGGTATCAGCTCTAAAGATTGCCAAGAGAAAGGGGGGAACGTGATGGCAGTCATCGAGGGAAGCAGTGGGCGCAAGAATGGCCACCACCGTTCCAGTGAAGAAGACACGTACACCATCATCAGATTTGGCCTTCGAGTGAAGTGTCCCCCCTTTCAGCCTACTCCGTGAACTCTCTGAGAGAGCACGTGCAGTCAGATTCGATGTGTAGAAGAGTGGAGAGCTGTTTACAAAGAGTGAGACAGGCCAGGACAGTCTGTGCCCGATATCACGTAAGCCATGGCTGCCTGCTCCTGCGGCTCTCTCTCACTCTTCCTCTATCTTACTGTCTTTCTCTGCATCGTCTCCATCGAATTCACTGGCGGGGGGCTGGTCGCTGTCGCCGACTGGACTGCCTACTGCCGACTGCCGCCTAGCAACTGCCGCCGTCTCGGACTATTCTCACGGGCTATAAAAGCGGAATCACTTCGCCATTTGACTATCACTCAACGACGAAGCAACGTTCAAAACAAAACCAGTGTGTTTGTGAATTATCCAAAACTTACCCTTTTCAGCAATAACTGCATCTCTAAACCGAACTCCAGCAAAAAAAAGTCAATCATGGGCCACATCGTAATTCCGCGAAACGTCATCTCCACCATGTCAAAGATGAACCTGTGGGTGAACTTCAAGAGGAACCCCCGTTACTGGCTGATGGTGAGCGCCTGTGTGGTGGCCGCCCCTTCCTGTGCCATCTCCACTGCCGTTCAGAAGATGAACAGCTACGAGTTCCTCTCCGAGAGGGCCAATGTTCGGCTGATGAAGGATGGTGAAAGGTATGAAAAGTACCTGCGGGGCGGCAAGTGAACCTTTGCAGCAGTCTTGGATGGACCAAAGATTCGACAATCATGCAAACCCGGCGCCATATGTATTACTCATGTATGGTTAGTCTCACTTGGCAGCGTGCACAGAGTTTTCTGTCGAGATTGGATCTCTCCCCTGACCAGTCGCAGTGAATGAGTTGCTCACTCTTCAACACTACTCATCGTAGCAATGTGATTTACTTTTGCTTATTTCCTTATAGCCACTACGTAGCAGGCAATGCTTTTTCTATATCCTTTACCCTATTTGATATTATGTTTTACATGCGATATCGCTCTTTGATACAATAAACTTTACATTTAAAAATAAAGTGTTTACTTATTATCTTGTTTACTGTTTATCATCATCAGAGCAATGGCCGTACAGTTGATAAAGTGGTCGACTTTTTGTTTGCCACAAATTCAAACTTATCGCGCCACTGCTGTTGGCAATTTACACAAAATGAGATTTTGTTTGTGTTGAAATAGTTACGAAATAGCTTCAGGTGCGCCATCTTCCGTCCCAAAAGTGCAAGTGCAACTGTTTAGGGAGCACTCTCAAATCCACGTGCTTTTGCCACGCTCTCCACGTGTTTACAAAGATTTTCATTTTACATTTGTGTTTTCATTTATTTCGCACATCTTTAATCTTAAATCATCTGCTATCATGGGAAGAAAGGGAAACTACGATGTAAAGGAGAAGAGAGGCCCTGGACGGAAAGCTCGTAAGCAAGGCGAGCCGTCACCAATAGGCATTTTTAGTGCCAAACTAAAGGACAAGAAAAAGAGCTCTCTTAAAAGGTTTGATACATTTTCCTGTTTTAAGTTTATATATTTTTAACATATATTTTAACATATTTCTACACAGAAAAGATGCATCCTTGCCTGATTCGGCTAGAAAGAGAGTTAAGTTTTCTGAAAACCTTGTTGAAGAACGTTTGATGGATTTTGGAGACTTGAATGAAAATGTAGTGGCAGAAAGTGATGAAGAAAAAGACGAATATGACCTGAATGGAATTGATGAAGAAGAGGATGAATATGACGTGAAAGACAGTGATGAAGATGACGATGTGAAAGAAAAAGATGAGGAGGATGAAGAAGAGGATGAAGAAGATGACATCAAAGAAAATGATAAAGATGATGAAGAGGACGATGATGAAGAGGATAAAGATGACATGAAAGTTTCCGATTCTGTTGAAATTGGAATTGACGAAACTCTGCCTCCCGACATATCGCTCATCAAACAACGCATCTCTGACATTCTCTTTGTTCTCAGTGATTTCAACAACCGACGTCAAGAGGACAAAACTCGGGAGGACTATTTGCAAGTTCTGAAAGACGACTTCTGCTCGTACTACAACTACAACAAGTTTCTCATGTCCAAACTGATGTATTTATTCCCCCTTGATGAGCTGAAGGAGTTTTTGGAAGCCAGCGAAGTACAGAGGCCTCTTGTTATTCGCGTTAACACGCTCAAAACTAGAAGACGTGATCTTGCCCAGGCGCTAATTAATCGAGGCGTCAACGTTGACCCAGTGGGCAATTGGTCAAAGGTGGGCCTGGTTGTGTACGACTCTCAGGTGCCTATTGGCGCCACACCGGAATACCTGTCGGGCCACTACATGCTCCAAGGAGCGGCCTCGTTGGTTCCCGTCATGGCTTTGGCCCCTCAGGAAAATGAGAAGATTCTTGACATGTGTGCCGCTCCCGGTGGCAAAACCACGCACATTGCCTCGATCATGCGAAACACCGGTGTGCTTTTCGCCAACGACGCCAACCGAGATCGCTGCAAAGCATTGACTGCCAATTTACACCGTCTTGGAATTGTCAACACCATTGTCAGCAACTACAATGGTCTCAAGTATCCGCGAATAATGAAAGGATTCGACCGTGTGTTGATCGATGCACCCTGCTCAGGCACTGGTGTCATCTGTAAGGACCCGGGTGTGAAAACAACCAAAGTAAGCATTTATTCAATAGTTTACCATTATCAAGTTGTAATTTTCTGGGTTTTTATTTTCGTAGAACAATGCTGATATTCTCAAATGCGCTTACACACAGAAGCAGTTGATTTTGGCTGCCATTGACTGCGTGGATGCAAATTCGCAGACTGGCGGGTACATTGTCTACTCGACCTGTTCTGTTTTGGTAAGA